AAATCTATATCACTGTGTCCTCAATTTCTGTGTTCATGTCATTCCTCCTATCTGGGAGTCTGATAGTAAAAGAGGGGTAAATTCAGGACTGATCATTAATGCTGCTCAGGAGTTTGTGCTATTCTTTCTTCTTCCCAGGCAACTTTTAGGATTGCATGTTTCTACGTGCTCTGAATTTAGGATGGTCACATTAGTTGTTTTGGATAAAATGTGGGAAAAGTGGCATGCATCACTTCTGGGTAGAAAATGTAAGACTCACTGTGAGATTTGCTACATTGCCTTCTTCTGCAGCGGCAATCATGTAAGCATGGACTGATTTCTGTCAATCTGGCTTTCCAGGGTGATCATCTGAATACCTCACACTTTGCTGGCCTTATTAACACTTTGTGTGAATGACGAGTACAAAATTCCATTGTTTTAAGGCAGATTTTTGGTATTTGTTCTTTGGTACCTTCCACTCTGTGACATAAGGTCAACAGCAGAGGTTATGATGGGTATTCAAGAAACTGCCTACAAAGAAGTGAAATACTGAATAGTAATAGTTGTATGAATTATATATGTCATATATTAAAACTCCTGTGTGGGACTGGTGAGAGAGAAGATTGTGAAGAATATTTGACTAGCTTCTATTCCATAGAAAAGTAAGACTTAAAGGGATGAGAGTTAGCTATTGGCACAGCCAAAATATATTCCCTAACAAGTTGGAGCATGAGCTAATACTATGTAAAGATAGTTCTGAACAGCTCTCACTTAAACATGTACCAGGTGCCTTCAGTGGGAATAGATGAGAGACAAAAAAAGATATTAAGACTGATTCATGGGCCCTCCCTGGTGGTGCAGTGGGTTAAGGTTCAGCACTATGAATCTATTGGCAACTGCTTCAGCATGAGTTCAGACCCTGCCAGGAGATGACCCACATGGCTTGGCAGACCTTTCCTGTCTCACTCACTGCTCCCCTCAGCCGTGTACTTTGTCAATATGCCTGCTCTTCTCCCCATTTTGACTCTAGTGAATTCTTTCACCATCCCTGCACCTCTGGCCTATACCCCAGTTTTAAAGATTTTAAAAATATTTAAAATAAAAATAAAGACTGACTCATGGCCACTAGTGGGAAAAAGAACTCATTATACAAGTAATATGTCAGTGGTTAAGACTGTATCTTTAAGGCATCCACATATTTATTTAACAAAAACTTATTCATTGATTATTATGTACAGGAAGTAAATGAGATATTAGAGCTCCATGAACTCTCATCACATATGGTTTTTATAACGGCTGTCTTCAAAGGATGGTATTGGTGCATGGGCCATACTTTGAGTAGCACTTATTTAGATAACTGCTTTGGGAATGTGAGCAGTGATATCCTAAACAGTGTTTTTCTAGGAAACTAATCCAGACCTTAGTGTCTTAGAAAAAGAATAAAGTAAATGAAAACAGATGAGCACAAAAGAAGCCAATATTTTCTCTTCTCTTTACTGTGGAACTAACTTAAAACATTTAGTATGTCCCTAATTTATTCCTTCTTTTCTTATGGTCTCTTTCAATATTAACTTTCCTTTACCAAAAAAAAAAAAAAAAGAAAGAAAGAAAGGAAAACATATCAAATGATACCAAGACAAAAAACAAGCAACCAGCAACAAAAGGAAAATGTTTTTCATAAAGCTAGGGAGCTGAAAGTCCTTTAAAATGAGGCAACAGAAGTCTTCAAGAGTTAAGTAAAGTTTGAAGGTCATTGTCTATATTCCTTCTGAAAAAAAGTATAGCAGAAGAGGACAGCTGGTGACAGAAAACCCAAGTTGGGAGCCCACAGCTCCTTTTCTATCTCCATATCCACTCTATGTGTAGAGCTGAGCTGGTGGCTAATAAGAGGAAATCAGATAAATAACAAGTTCTTTAGTTTCTTTTGTCATACAGTTTCATCATATGAATCAAGCTATGTGTCAAGCCAGATCCAAGAGAAATTTGAGACCAAATTTGACAGGGAAAATAAAGATATATGGGGAAAGGGTGAAAGATGTTGGAAAATCATTCAGTTGATCCAAACCAAGTGCATTGGCAAAGAATCTTTCTAATGGTGTGAAGACCACAGATCAATGTATTCCACTGTGAATCTTAAAGCCTTTGCACTACTAATCTAATATTTATGGAAAGTATGGCCAACCAGCTCAGCAAGGCCTTTCTTATGAAGAATTGTTAGAATGATTGTTTGCCAAAGTATATGAAAGCCATGAGGAGAGTATTTCATTCTGAGGTATGAAGGGATAAATGTTTTATTTGGTTTCCATTACATGGGTGTGTTCAAATAAAACACATATATCTAAATTATATACTTAAGTATTTTTCTATATCAGTATTAAATATTAAAAAGTGTTTTTGAAGGTAAAAAAATATCATGTACCAAGCAGATAGAACATAACTTGGGCTACAGTAGGCAATAGCTACATGTAGGGAATTATTTAACTGCTTCCCTTTTTAGCCAAAAATGTCTGGCATTATAAGTTACCAATGTAAATACAATGGTCTATGGTGGTAGAATATGGGTGGGTTGATGGTGGGTACGCTGTGGTGGTAAAACCTTATGGGGGTATCCCTATATAAACTCAATTAAAATAAATCAATAAGATTGAATTTTAAAACAATGTAAATAATAAATTCTGAGGATTTGTTTTATGGGCGGCAGGGGGAAGGAGGGGACAAAGTTTAAAAGATACATGTACAGGGAAGTATTCTGTTGCCAAACACTGGAACTACCAGGATGTCTATTAGTCAAAGACTGGTAAATAAATGATGAATGAATCATGACATAGAGGATTCTAATATAATAAAACTTCACTGTATTTTCTAACAAAGAAAGATGTTAGACAACATATTGGCTACATAAAAAGGTAGACTTCAAACAAGACATAGTATCATGATAGGATATTTTTATAAAATGCAAATATTAGCACTACTACCATCATTATTCCTGCATACACAATCTTACAGAAATGCAACAATTAAAAAATATTTATGTATGCATATAAGAACTGGTATATAGGCCAGAGGTGTGTGGGGGTGAGGAAGAGAGTGTACTTTGTTAGTCTGCCTGTTCTGCTCCCCACTCTGTTTCTTGTGAATCCTCTCACCCCACCACAATTCTGACCTGTACCCCAGTTTTTTAAATACATCTTTAAAAAAAAAGAAATAGAAAGCAAACTTAATTATAGCTTATGCAGTAAAATTGCTACACCTTCCCCTTCTGCACCCCTATTCCCTTCTCCACCTCCTTCCTTTTGTCCTAATGTCCCTCCCTCCCCCTCTTTTTTTTTTTGGTACTGTATTCACTTAATATAAATGGCTGAGACCCGAAATTCAATATGCCCAAAAGAGCTTAACTGTACCTTGCATCACAGTTGAAGTTTATAGGTACAGGATATTGTGGATGTTTAAGTTCTTGTACTCATGATTTAAAACAAGTTCTCATTGCCACCTATCCTTTTGTTTGCCCCCCAAAAAGTATATCTATTACCTTCTTAAGTAACTGTCCATAACAATAATACATTTTCCAAACCCTTTTACACTATTGTCTATAACAATAAAGGCTTCAACAATCAAGTCCTTAATACAGATTATAAATCTGGATTAACTTTCCACTTTAAAACAATCTAGTAGGTAATCTTTTAAAAGTAAGGAACTAAGCAAATGTTAGTGCCAGACTATCCTTTCATGATCTGGATAAGAAACTTAAAATACTGGTACTTCTTTGTTAATTGTGCCATTCCATGCTAAGAGACACTCTTGTAGGGATATGGTTTCTTCATTGCATGTTGTTGTTGCCATCACTTATTATCAACAAAATTATGACTATTTTCTGGTTCTTCATATAAGCATGAACACGTACGAAACTCTTGAAGGAGGCATTTTGAGTGACGAGACTGGGTTTTTCAGAACACGACATTAAACGAACACATATGCCACAAATCAGAGTCAGAACTAAAGGGATCCCCCTCGACTCAGTAGTCTACTACTCTGTACCCGAGGTGGTCATTGATGCACAGATGAAATTTCTGAGTTTGAATCAAAAGCTGGTCCATTTGTACATTATAACTGACTTGTGTGTAAGCTTCTGCTGATTCCACTAGGTAGATCTATTAGCTAAAAGGACTCCTGCTTTGTCTGAGCTTCTTTGCTGGGCTCCCTCTTCCATTAATTAACTTAGAGGCTTTATTATTTTTATAGCTGTCATTACTAACCATAATGGCAGTCTATAAAAGTTAAGCTTTGTTGCTTTATGTAAATATAGTAATATACAATATGATATCTTTCACACATATCTATTTGAAGAAAATGACTTTCTTCTGTAACACTACTTTTCGCTTCCAGTTTCATTTAATAATACTCCCTGGATGGATTATGGGTGCCAAGAACTGGGCAAGAGGGACCTACATAGTTCCTGATGTCTAGGGACATTCTGTTTTTATCCAGATTCTAAATTACTAGTCTAAAAACCTAAGCGAATGAAACAATACTTCAGTCATGAATTCACTTTTTCTGCTTTTTCCTAGTAGCTAATTAAATACAACAAAATGTTTATATAAACTCTATAGGCTTAAAAAGAGGAGGATATAAAATACAGGTGCAGGTAAAGGGTAAGCCAGACACAAAGGAGTATTATTGGATAGGCTGAGGCTTGATCTAGAATAGAGACCAACCAAGTCAGATGATTTTGCCTGTGATGGGTTAATCTTTCATTCATTGAATAAATGTATGATTCTAAGTTTACTTAATCATTAGGATGATTAATCATTCTCACCAGTCATCTCTGTCATCCCTCGTCTCCCCTATTAAAAAAGGAAAAGAAACTCAGAAAACCTGGAAATAAATCCTCTATAGATTTGATGCTACACCCCATTACACCGTTATTTATCTGTAACCCCTGGCAAGCTTATGCACAGAATGGTATCTGCTAAAATCTGTTGAATTGAACTAACCAACAGAAGGGAGAATGGAATGGATTTTACCTCAAATGAACATTCTTTGGTGAGATCCAGAGATGTGTGTTGAGCTCTTCAAAGCACCTTGCCTTATGTACATGATAAAAAAATTAATAAATAAATATACCCCAAAACCAAAACACAGAAAAGGAATACCACACTCACTTTATAGAACTGTATTCCCAGGATACTTCTGAGATTGGCTGATGGTTCCCACATGCCCTGCCTTTGAAGATGTCTAGGACATACCCTGTGGGAGTGGTGTCCTTGTAACTCCATTACAAGGGAGATATTTTAAAAAGCCATTTGCATCAGGGCTGAACTACAAGTGGATTATAAAGCGTGTACCTTCATGGTGATGAGAGTGTACCTGCATGGTGATGATTTTGTACTCCAGAAAATAAATCATTTAAGTCACAAAATACAAGAATTTCTAAGAGCTAGATCGCAATATAGCTGAAGCACACTAACAAGTCGCATAACTTAAGCTGGTTAGATGCTTTCTTTAAAAAAAAGGATGATACATTGTGCTGGTAGAATGCATTAAAAAATCTTTTAAAAAAGAACGTCATTCATACTGCATGGTTTTCTGTGGATATGTAATTGCGTGACAACGAATATGAAGATTTAAAGCAAAATGCTTCTTGGGGATGGTGCCTCCAGTCACCCTGGACATAATCATTTCCTATTTCCCCTGCCCTTTAAACCTGTACTGTGAGGGACCCGAAAGTGATGGCTTTGAGATGTCTTCCAGCCGTCGGATCCCATTATCCACTCCCAAAGAAGCACCTAAATACGTACTCACTTTAGCAGAAAAATTTCCCAAGGAAATTTAACGGGCAGAAAAAGAATAAGATTAAGAAACAAACCCCATCTCTGGAGCCTGACTCTAAATCCCAGAGCAAAGGGGAACCAGGACATCGGGTCCAGAGCCCAAACCTGAGCCTTATCAACAAGATGTTTCCGTGAATGAAGGTCCTTCTGCTCCCCGGAGGAGGACACCTCGAACACCTCCCTCCTACAACAGAACTCAAACTTGTGCCCACAATCCAAACACCTCGACTTTGAAATGCAGGATTCAGGTATCTCAGTAGCCCCGGGAAAGGGGAGAAATCCTGGTGGTTGTTGCAGTTTCTTACCGGGGTTTCGTGGAACTCAGGAAACCAGTGCTGGGGGAAGCTAGTGTTCAGAACCAGGTAAAAGTTCCTGGATTTAGAAACACCGAAGACGGTATATATCATTAGAACACCGCCAGTGTGCGCAGTGGCAAGACCTCACGAAGGAACATGTAACCCTAGAAATCCAACTAAGCGCAAAACAAACAGAATGACCGCACACACTACAAGGGGGGCGGGGAGATGGGTGTGCAGAATGCACTAAAAACAGTCTGCAAAAAGTGTAGAACTGTCTCCATCTGAATCGAGGAACCAACCTCTGTAGCAGTGGATTGATTCTATGGCAGATCTTCCCGGTTCCGAGTGTCTGGGACAGAAGTGGGTTATCCCCCGGCCAAGGACATTGTGTCCTACTGTAACCCCGAGAAATCATCCTGAAAATCAGGAAAGCGGGCTGCGCAGACTGTTCGGGGCCATAAGGACTACATAGACCGATTTGGGGTGTCCATCTCAAGGTGCCAAATCTCTGGGAGCCACGGAAAGTCTAGAAGCCAGCCTTGGAGGAAGCGGAGCCTCGCAAATCTAATGCCATACCCGGCGAGGCGAAGAGTCTGGGATTCCCACACAGAGACAACCAGTTCTTGCACTTAGCACCCTGCTCCCCACTCTTGTGCCTCGAGGACAGTCTCGGAACCTCTCTCTCCCCTCCCCCCTCCCTCCCCACTGACCTGCGGGATGGGACGCGACGATGTCCGGGGTCGTGCTCAAACGCTCGAGCTCCTTGCTGGCGCCCGGTCTCTGCGATCTGCTCCCGCAAAACCGTCCGCGGTAGGGCGGGCGCTGTGGTGCCGCTACCCGCTGGGCGCAGTAGCGGGCAGCAGGCACAGCGGGAGTGAGCGCGAGGCTGCCCGCCCGCCAGACAGTGCGTTTTTCCTCCGCCCCTCCAGTCCACACAACCAATGGGGGCATACTGGGCCGGCCGCCCCCCAGCCACTTCTCGGGCGGGTGCTTTATGTTAGGACAGCAGCCCCACTCCAGCGGGGGTGGAGCTTGGCCAGCTTTGGAAAATCCCAGAGGACCCGGAGGCTTTAGTTCAGGAAGCCCCATCTGGGGAAGGCAGGTGTGGTGCAGTTAAGGAGTGTGTGTGGCGGGGGTGGGGGTGTGCAGTTTGGTTTGGGGGGGGGGGGAGGTTTGGAGCTCTGACTCTGCGGACGAAGCCACCTACTTTCTGCCAAGTTTCTTCCCCTCTTAAATCTTTTATGAGTCCCCTGTAACTTCCACTCCAAACCGTGAGCCCCAGCGCCTCACTTGTCTTAAAGGGTATTCTGTGCTGCGTAAAGGTATCGTCCAAAGGAGGACAGTTAAGCCTCAGTAGACACCTTCAGTCCGTCTTTTCTTTTTCTTCTGAATCCTCAACCAAATCATCAGTTGAATAGGATGGCAATTTCTGTCATTGCCAGGAAGGCAGGAAATCTTAAAGGTTCCTGCTGGATAACAACTTAGAGAGTGTCATAGAAAAGACACCTGGAAGAGAATATTTAATATATATGAATAACTTAGATTACAAATCAATCCTGTGACCTTCACAATTTGGCTCTCCTCTGGCTTCTTATTTTCCAACTGAGAAATGAAAGACTTGGATCTGTTGATGTTTAAGTCCTCTTCTACTCTGACGGTCAGCAATCCAAATGATTCTCCTAAATGACCTGGACTCAGCCCCTTTGAAGTGCCAGTTGGCTATCTTTTCTCTCAAGTCCTGTTGCATTCACCCCCAAAGCTGTCCCCCAGCATCCAGGAAAGCAAATCATGTAGCTCAATACAGAAAGATGCTGCCCATGTCTCAGCAAGCATTTACACTTGCACAAATACTGCCACCCTCCAGTGCCCAGCTTCTGGAATCTTGTTAGTTGAACACAGTTTTAATAGCTCTCCAGGAAGAGCAGATCCAGACTTGTGACTTAACTGAAAGCCCCCTTGGCAAGTGAGTAATGGCAATTCCTCTCCCTCTTCCTTCTCCAGGGCAATTGTGTGTGTATGTGTAAATCATTTGAATATTTATGTGTTTGCTGTAAAATGCAGGGCAGTGGAATGAGCTGCATTGTTAAGAGGGCAGATTCAAAGACCTGCTCATCTTTCAATGCACTTGCATTTTGCCCTAAACTTGACTCATTTGCCTGCTGCTTTCATGAGTTCTGGTGCACCTGCCATCCATCTGTACCTTCTCTGTGTTGTACTTTATATTTTTCCTTTGATTTTGAAATTTGACCTAATCACAGTCATATCCATGAAATCACTGGGGTGTTACATATCAGTTGTACTTCAATGCAAAATAAATATTAAGTTATCTATAAGACTTTTCTTGACGTTTTCTGAATGTTATTAGTGATGTTGGTTTCCTAGGGTTGCTATAACAAATTTCCACAACTGGAAGACTTAAAGCAATATATATATGTATTCTCTAATAAGTCTGGAGGCAAGATATCAAGGTGTCAACAGGTTGGTTCCTTGTAGACTCTGAAAGAGAATCCATTTCATGTTTTGTTTGTTTGTTTGTTCTTTTCTAGTTTCTGTTAGCTGCTGGCAATCTGTAATGTTTCTTAACTTGTAGAAGCCTCAACTGTCTTCATATAATCTTGCTTTGTTTCTTTTTCTGTTTACTGCATTGATTATCTTCTAATGACACTTCCATTGGATTTAGGACCAACCAAACCATGTATGATCTCATCTACAAATACCCATTTTAGGTGTCTGTAAAAGTTCACATTTACAAGATTCTGGGTAGACATATATTTTAAGGAGACACCATGCAACTCATCACTGTCAGAATCAGTGATTACCCAAACACTGAGCTTTCTGAGTCATGGAAGTGCACCCTCCCAGGATGATAGCAAGTAAACACTGTCCATGCTTGACACTTGTGTAGTTGCCTAGATGAGCAGGGCCATTTTGAAATGCACTAGGAGAATACTGGATATCTAAGTATGGCAGGAAAACCATGAGAATATGTTTTTAGGGTATGATTTTCAATTCAAGGTGTGTATCTAAACCTTCTTTTACACTCCTTTAGATTAAAGTGCATTTAAAAAGCCACTATTGTTTGAACTGGCACAAATCTTTATTACCTTCAAGTGCAGTGATGATTGGGGTGGTAATCCTCACATGGGAGAGGACGTTTCTCTTGCCTTTTTTTTTTTTTTAAATTTCATATACAAATAATCTAGAGACTTTTGTCAAATTTGCTTCCATAAAAAGTCTTCAGGCCCTCTCTGGTGGTGCAGCGGGTTAAAGCACTGCACTGGGAGGCTTAAGCCGCTTCCGCATGAGTTCAATCCCCGCCTGCCTCAGAGGTGACCACATGGTGTGGCAGACCTCACCTGGCCTTCCCGCTGCTCCCCTCAGCAGTGTACTTTGACATTCTGCCTGTTCTGCTCCCCACTCTGTCTCTGGTGGCTCCTCCCACCCTCCGCATCTCTGGCCTGTACCCCAGTTCTGTACGAATAAATAAATAAATCTTAAAAAAAAAGTCTTCAAAGGGGGCCCTCCCTGGTGGTGCAGTGGATTAAAGCAAAGCACTAAGAAGCTAAAGCCATTTCAGCATGAGTTCAATCCCTGCCTTTTCAGCATGAGTTCAATCCCCGCCTTGGAACTGACCCACATGGCACAGCAGACCTCTCCTGACCTGCCTGCTGCTCCCCTCAGCAGTATACTTTGTTGATGTGCCTGTTCTGCTCCCCACTCTGTCTCTGGTGAATCCTCTCACCGCCCCTGTGCCTCTGGACTGTACCCCAGTTCTGTATGCATAAATAAATAAATCTTTAAAAAAAAAGCCTTCAAGGGTAGATTAGTCACCACTCAAGGGCATGGGAGTTTGTAGTCATGTTTTAGAAACATTGTTGGAATCTCCACTCAACATGAGCTTCCCACTGCATCTTTCAAGCCTTTTCTGTCTCACTTAGATGAGTTGTTGTGACAATTGTGAAACTCAGATTCAGATAGAGTCATTAAAATCTGTTTTCACTCTCTGCTTGATTTAAACCCATCATTTAACCTCTCTGAGCTTCATTTTTGTAATTTATCTATAAAGTAGAAATTAACAGAATCCATCTTAAAAGGTTATTAGGGCTACACACACACACACACACACACACACACACACACACACACACACATTTCCTAGCCATTGTCCTGCATGTAGTATTTAAATTACTAGATTTATCTTTCCTTCCATGCTACATCAAAGCAACTTTCAGAATTTTCTATTTTCCTTCTAAGGTACTAAGAACCTTACATTTTATTTTTTATATGCCTTGGGCTTACTTTCTTCTACCTTTCCTTGATTCCTCCATATCCATCCCCAACTCTCTTTGATGTTCTCCTCCCAAACTCTATTTTCTTTTATGCCTTAATCTCTCTTCTTTTAAGTAGTTCTCATATTCTATCTACCATAATTTCATAGGTCTATACCTTCGAAAAAGGAGCTGAAGTAACTCTGAGAAAGATGTAGCTCATAAAAACTCTTTTGCTCTTTCATGATGTGTCAATCACATCATGTGTTTGTCTTGCTTTTGTGTTTGTCTAATTCAGTCTTCCCAACAGTATGGAGAAATTACTGTTAGTACCATGGAAAAAACTCCTGAGCTATGATTCCTTTGATATTTGACAACTATTTTAAGGCATCTGTTATATGCCAGGTGGTTTCCCCAGGTACTAGGGAGATAAAAATAAATAAGACAGTGTCTGTCCTAAAATGCTTACAAACCATCCAAGAAGACACACACACACACACACACATACACACACGTATGATATACACATACATGTGTATGTGTATACTTAGAATGTAATCATGCCTTGTGTCACTTCAAGCAAATAATGCATATGAAAGAAAGAATTCCCCATCCTTTTTGGTAATGAAATTGTCTTGGATTGACAACCAAAAAGCCTACCTGCCCCAGCCTTCTGCAGAGTAAAGAGCCATGTTCTGTTCTGAACAGAGCTCATTGGCACAGGATAGATCCAGCATTGGCCACCCCTGTGTCCGTGCAATGACCATCTGCCTTTTTTTTTTTTCCTGAGCCACCCATTACCTAACTATCGTACTCTTATTGAAGGAATTCTCCATTGCTTTAACCTTTTTGAAAAGCAAAACCCGTTCCTTAGTGATGATGTCCAAAAGGCCTGGCATATACTTTTCTCCATCCCCCTCATCTCCACCCAACCCCCATGCAGCTAGGGAGAGCATGTGACTTAGATTTGACCACTTAAATATATCTTCCAATACTTCTGAATCATAAACATAGAAACCACTATTAGAAAGTGGTTTTATATTTTCACTTCAATAAAATGTATGTACCTGTGTACACCTTTCTTGGAGTTGGTCCTGTCTCAGGGAGCTGAGATGAGGAGAGTGCTTTATGGCGCTGACTGTAACAATAACCAGCCTCCAGGACCAGCAGGAGAAGGAGGACAATAAGCAGTGATACCAGATTGCCAGTACACAGGTTTTCAGTTACATGTTATAACTCCTACAATTCAGTGATGGCAACAGTGCCCTCTCTTGGCTAATTTGGAAGAATGATTTGGCTGTGATTGTGTCTGTCCCACCCCCTTTGATTCTGTTCAATTTCGGAGCATCATTCTGATCCACTCTCCTTGCAATAAATTCTTTTTTCTTTTCTGGTTATGGCAGCCAAATTGAATTTAGCAACTAAGAATATTTTGACTAAAGCCAACTACAAAGGTTCTGCCTCAAAAAGAAGATGGCTAATTAACTGATCCTTGTAACTTCTCTTGTGGGATGCTGAAATTGGAAATATTTGAGTGGGTCAAACAGAACCCAGACAGAGGCTAAAATCACACACCTGAGGACTATGAGGGGTGTGGTGTAGGCTGAAATTATTATCAAAAAGAATTTATGAATAAGCAGAAGTTCTGAGTGAGCAGAAATCAAAATACATACAGAGGGAAGGAAGAGGTGGTTGGCAGATAGCAACTAGAAATCAGATTGCAGAAACTGTGTCCTCAAGACCGAGAGGGAATAGATGCTCTCCAGAGAATTCCAAGCA